GTCTACAGTTGCCCCTCTTTGGTAGAACTCGAAGTCATGAAATGACGCGAGTGAATGCCAAAGCCCGAAGACGACCCATTTTGATAAGGCCGTAAGACTTGGGCAAACAAACAAAATGCAGATATAGTTGGTTGAACCCGAGGGTTGCCTACGTATCCCGTTGTAAGGAATCAAACCAGCGTAGTTCAGGGGCAGGATATGAAATGATACACAATGTAATGCAATAATACAAATGATATGCGGTGTAAGGACAATGTAATGAAATAATCAAACCACAAGCAGTGCAAAACACACACAAATACCATAAAGGAATGGAGATGCAAATCAAACTATGTTTTATATAGAAAAGAAGTGGGCATAGCCAAACGACGCCTAACACAGGCTAAGTGCCTACATCCTCAATACTGGCCTCAGCGCAGCATGGATGCTTACACATAACAAAACGACCCATTTTGATAAGGCCGTAAGACTTGGGCAAACAAACAAAATGCAGATATAGTTGGTTGAACCCGAGGGTTGCCTACGTATCCCGTTGTAAGGAATCAAACCAGCGTAGTTCAGGGGCAGGATATGAAATGATACACAATGTAATGCAATAATACAAATGATATGCAGTGTAAGGACAATGTAATGAAATAATCAAACCACAAGCAGTGCAAAACACACACAAATACCATAAGGGAATGGAGATGCAAATCAAACTACGTTTTATATAGAAAAGAAGTGGGCACAGCCAAACGACGCCTAACACAGGCTAAGTGCCTACATCCTCAATACTGGCCTCAGCGCAGCATGGATGCTTACGCATAACAAAACTATGTTTTAACATGAAAGGGGTGCGAGCATATGCAAAACTATGTTTTTCGTAGAAAGAGAAAGAGTACAAGTAATTTGGGTGGTATGATGTAAGTGAGGAATGATCTACTGAGGAAAGATGATGATCTGAATTGCTGAATGTAGCAAAACATAGTATGATGCAATGAATGCAGTGAATAACGCGTAGGCTGAACCACATCTTACCTAGAAAATGCATAGACACAAAACAAACCATGTCTAAGTGTTTTATTTTATTGTATTTTGTTGGGCTCTGGTCTGTTGCTTTAGAACTCTCTGGTTTGGTTGTTTAAAAATTGGTAAATGAAAAAGAAATGAAATTTTGGAGCTTATTTTGAGCTTTGCTTGGTACAATTCTTATTGTTCTCAGTGTTTCATGTAATAAGCTTGTCAATTTGTAGCAATATATATTTAATTAATTTTTTTTTTTTTGAGAAATTTAATTAGACCCTTGTCCATTTTGGGTTGAAGGCGCTCTGTTTGATTGTTGAGAAAATGAGGAGAAAAAGGATTGAAATTTTTTATTCTGTTGAGGTCTGTTATGTATCTTTATAACTCTCTGGTTTCTTTGCTTAGAAAATTGAGAAATGGAAAGGAAAGAAGTTTTGCATCTTATGTTGAGCTTTGTTAGGTCTATCACTCATTGTTCTTGGTGTCTGCATTTGTATTATGTGATTAGCTAAGGGCTGTGAAACTGTGATTTTTAGTTATTATTTCAGAACTCAAATTAGACCGTTTCCCATATTCAGACTTTGACACTCTGATTGGTTGATGAGAAGGCAGGGAATGGTTTTTTTGATATTTTGCATTCTATTGCGTTGCTTTAGAACTATCCAATTTGGCTGCTTAGAGAACTGGAGAAAATACAAGAGGAGATGTTGAATCTTATGTAGGGTAGGCTTTGTTTTGTACGTTTGTTTAGTGTTTATGATTGTGTCAACTGAATACTGTTGTACCTAATGTCTGTGTAACAATGATTTTAGTTTTAATTTGAGTAATTTATTTAATCCTGCTCCATTCTTGGGTTTTCGACACTGCTAGGTTGCTGATTAACGAGGATAAAATTTTGATCTTTTGTTTTCTGTTGTGTTGCTCTATAACCATATGTTTGATTGCTTGAAGAATCGAGATAAATGGGGAAAGAAAAAAGAGATTTTAATATTACATTCTACATTCAGCCCCATCTGATTGTGACACAAGGCTTATTTGGTTCATTCTGTATGCAACGTGTATTTTCTCATTTTGGTTACCTTCTATTTTCTTTTAGAATTTTTCTGAAATCCCCATCCTTCTGTTTTTGTCACCGTTTGATTACTTATAAAGCTGAGTAAAGGACTGAGTTTTATCTTTTGTTCTCTGTTGTTTTGAACTAGTTGTGTGGTTGCTTCGGGAAAGAAAATAAGTTGAATTATGAATATTCTGTTTTATGATTGTTATATAATTTTTCATTTTGGTTGTTGAGTATTCTATGGTGTCATTTAGTTAATTTAAGGGAGCTTTTTTGATAAATCCATTTTCTAAGAGATTTATTCCATCCAACCCATATTCTTTTTGACTATTCCATTAGGTCCAATTTGAGATAAGAAGACCAAAATACCCTTTTCATCTACTTATGTTCCATTTAATTCACATTATTTTCTTATGTTTCAATAAGTCCTATGGGTGACATAATTATCAAAATACCCTTAATGTGAATGTTCACACCGTCAATGTAAATGTTCATATTGTCAATATGTAAGGACTCGGCCCATGTTGATCCTCGTGGGTGCCCGGAAAAATTCGAGTCGGGCCGGACCGGCCCACAGGCCAAAAAAATAGGCCCAGCCCGGCCCGGCCCGTTAATAATATGAATATTCACATTGATAAGTTAACATTCACATTGATAGGAGTGTAAAATTGGCCTGTGGCCTATGGGCGGCCCGAAACCAGCCCGTTGCCCGGGGCGGGCCCGGGTAGGCCCGTTCACAATGTGAATATTCACATTGACATATTAACATTAACATTGACAATAGTGCAAAATTGGCCCGTGACCTGTGGGCAGCCCGAAGCCCGAGTCCTGGTCGGGCCCGGCCCGGCTCGGCCCGTTGACAATGTGAATATTCACATTGACATGTTAACTAGCCCGCGCTCTGTGGCTGGCCCGAAAGCCGCCCGCGACTCGTGAGCTGCCCTGGGCGGGGCCGGCCCTACCCGTTGATAATGTAAATATTCACATTGACATGTTAACATTCACATTGAAAAGAGTATAAAATTAGCCCGCGCCTCGTGGCTGCCCGAAACTAGCCCACGGCCCGTGGGTGGCCCGGGGCGGGCCAGCCCGGCCTGTTAACAATGTGAATATTCACATTGACATGTTAACATTCACGTTGATAAGAGTGTAAAATTGACTCACGTCCCATGGGCGGCCCGAAGCCCGTGGGCGGCTCTAGACGAGACCGGTCCGGCCCGTTGACAATGTGAATATTCACATTGACATATTAACATTCACATTGATAGAAGTGTAAAATTGGCCCGTAGCCCGTGGGCGGCCCGAAGCACGCCCGCTGCCCAGGGCGGGCCCAGCCCGGCTCATTGAGAATGTGAATATTCACATTGACATATTAACATTAACATTGATAAGAGTGTAAAATTGGCCTGTGACCCGTGGACAGCCTGAAGTCCGGCCCCGGGCCGGGGCGGGCCCGACCCGTTCACAACGTAAATATTCACATTGACATGGTAACATTCACATTGATAAGAGTGTAACATTAGCCCGTGCCCCGTGGTTGTCCGAAACACGCCCACGGCCCGTGGGCGGTCCGAGGTTGGCCCGGCCCGGCCTGTTGACAATGTCAATATTCACATTGATAAGAGTGTAAAATTGACTCGCGTCCCATGGGCGGCCCGAAACCCGTGGACGGCCCGGGTTTGGGTCTAGGCCTACCCCGGGCCGCAGGCGAGCTTCGGGCAACGGACAAATTTTACACTCCTATCAATGTTAACGTTAACATGTCAATGTGAATATTCACATTGTCACGGCTCGGGCCAAGCCTGCCTCGGGCTGCGATCGGGCTTCGGGCCGCCCACGGGCTGCGGGCCAATTTTATACTCCTATCAATGTGAATGTTAACATGTCAATGTGAATATTCACATTGTCAACGGGCCGGGCCCGCCCTGGCTCGCGAGCGGGTTTCGGGCCGCCTACGGGTAATTTTACATTCCTACCAATGTGAATTTTAAAATATGAATGTTTACATCATTAAATTGCTAATCGTTCAAAAAATATTTATAAGGGTATCAAAATTAAGTATCAAAATTAAATATAAGGGCATAAGTGTCCAAAAAAATAATATAAATCAAGAAAATGGATTTTATGGAATAAAACTATACATACATGGGACTAAATGGGTTAAAAAGTTCCTTCATGGACTTCTTGGGTTAAAACACTTCTAAATTGGACTTTTCAATAAAAATCCCTTAATTTAATCCTATACTTTTATTTTCCTATATAATTATGGGCCTGCGTGAAAATTGGTTGTGTTTGGTGTAGCGTTGTAACCATGATTCTGCCCCTTCACGTGAACCCTCTGTTTGGATACAACTTTCAAAAATTAATTTCACTCACTTTTGAAAATATGTCTACCCGGTCATCCTCCCGAATGTCCTCCGGACGTTCGAACGGTTGACTGGAACAATGTTTTTTTTTTTTTTGGCACATGTTATTTTTATATTTTAAATAAAAAATATTTTCAATTTTTTTTAAATTTTTTTTTATGAACTTTGAATAGAATTTTGAGTTATGTGTTTGGTTATGAGTTGTAAGAGTTTGAATCAAATATCATATGCTACATCAAAAATTTTAAACTCAATTCAAAACTCTTAACCAAACAAATTTTCCACACTCAAATCATTATTTTAAAATTACTTTTCCAATGTATCCCCCCCAAAAAAAAAAAAATCATTATTCCAAAATTTACAAATTCAAAATACAATTTTATTTTCAAATCATAATTCTAAAACTCTACTAAACACTACCGTAGTTTCCACCGGTCAAAACTCTCTCCACTAAAATATGCAACAGACTGTTATAAATTCTGGTAATGAAAGCTGTTTATTTCATGTATTGGCCAGTACTACTGTTAGTTCGTAGTCACGGATAATTTAATTGAAATAAAAGAATCAAATAAACATGTTTTATAATCTTAAAAACAGGTGAAACAAATAAACAAAATAAAAAAAAAAATAAAAAGATGAAAAATGATTGAAACCAAAAACACATTAAAGAACTTATTTTCAATTGTAATCTTGACATACAATAGTGTATAGGAGCTTCAGAATTGTTGAACTCATCCGTGTGACTGTTGATGCTTGTTAGTATTGCGGTTTAAAGCATTCAGGTGGCATCTGTCCGTCGAATCGCTTAGTATCTTCGCAGTAGTCATATATCATGTAGTTATCTTTGACCCACTTCATCTGACCCTGCTTAGCATCGCTCAATTGGCTGTATGCAGGTGATGTCCACCAGTTGGCAGTGGTTTGGGAGGTGCATTGACTAATGCTAACCGGCCCATTCCACTTGCAAGCCCTTGCCCTAAACCGGTTGTATCTAGCTATGAACGGTGCCCAGCTCCAGTCAATCTTAACAAGGCCACCTCTTGTTGCCCAGTTATCAGCATTCCATAAGCTGGAGTACACCCTCATCCCTTGTTTGTTTGGGTAGGGAATCCCCTCATTCTCGTAGTTTCTGAATACACGAATAGGCAGGCTATTGACGTACCACCTGTAGCCATATTGATGAATGCAGGGTTTAGGAAATGTTTGGCTTGCAAAATTATATGTACCATGTTGTTAAATCTACAATAACATTGGGAAGGTGAAGAGATTTCTGTTATTGGACACTCTAAGCTTGAATTATTCGAGTTCTGTAAAGTTCTTTTCAATTTCGTGTGATGCTATAGAAGGGTAAAGATGATGTTTTATTGGAAAGAAATCCGGTTTTCGAGTTACTTACACAACTTCTGTCGGGTTCCAATGAATGGTGTAGTTGTGGAAATCAGCAGTTGGGTCAAACCAGGGGTAGAATTGCTGTTCTCTGTTTCCTATTCCTTGTGTGAAGATATTTGTGTGGATAATGTAAGGTTGTCCTGAAACGTTACCCAAGAATTCAAAATCTATCTCGTCGTGCCAGTTCCCAGTGGAGGACATCTGTGAGCAATTAAGAAAGTAGAGTTAGCCATTATTATTTTCAAATTAGTCTCAGATTTGTTAATCACGGCGGGCATATTGCAAAGCATTTTAGAAGGAATTTGAGAAGGAAATATCTATATATTGTAGGACACTATGTAGATCACCGAACTCTGGCACTTACATAATAGGCTGTGACAGTTCCAGCAGAATTTCCAGGGACCAATTTGATAAGCATTTCAATGCTTCCAAATAGAAATTGTCTCTTTGATTGAATGCCGGAACCTGAAAACCAAAGACAGCAGTAGTCTGTTATAGCTAGATACTACCAAAACAAGTTTGAATTAGCAACTTGAAAGCATCTAAATATTCAAAATACCCAGTTAGAAATAATTCCCTACTAAAATTTTCAATTTGCAGGGTTGTCCAAGTTGTTTTAGCTATCATAGATTGATTCATCCCAATAATTTCATTCATATTGTGGATTCCATGAGCATTCATCAAATTTCATTTCTGGAAATTTTGCTTCATGTGTCACTTCCGTTGTGCATTTTTCATAGATGGCTTAAGCAACACATCAAAGGAACTATTTTTCTAGGGTTTGTATAACCTCTTGTTTGAGACTTGGATTCTATTACCTAATATTGATCATATGATGATATAAGTTACTCAGTTTGACTGTGTTTTCGGTTTTTGTTGGTTTTATTTTATGACGCTTCCATTCTGCATTTTTCATAAGTGTCATCAGCAACACATCAAGAGAGATTTTTCTAGGGGTTTGTTTGACGTCTTGTATGAGACTTGGACTCTATTGCACGAGATTGATCATATGGTCATATAAGCCACTCTGTTCGGTTGTGTTATCGTTTTTTATTTTCTGAAAAATACAAATTATTTATTTATTTATTTATTCATGTTTTTAGAAACAAAATCGTGTTGTTTTTAGAAAATTTTCCTGAAAACAATTTTTGGATACAATTTGCCGAACTTTTTTTTTTTTTTTTTTTTTTTTTTTTTTTCCGTTTGGTCATATAAGCCACTCTGTTCGGTTGTGTTATCGTTTTTTATTTTCTGAAAAATACAAATTATTTATTTATTTATTTATTTATTTTTTCATGTTTTTAGAAACAAAATCATGTTGTTTTTAGAAAATTTTCCTGAAAACAATTTTTGGATACAATTTGCCAAACTTTTTTTTTTTTTTTTTTTTCTTGTCCGTATGATCTGTCAATTTTTGTGATATGAATGTGCAACATTGCTACCTTACACAATATGCCCAGACAACTTGAATGTCACAGCAGTATGTTATTTTACAAGCACTTTATGTTTCTTTTCTAAATTTTATGTGATCATAGTTACTAAATTACTAATTTGCAAATATGCACTCAAAACTGATCAAATATGAAAGCACTATGACTTTGAAGCATCAAACCAACAGTTGCTCAACAAAAACTCGATAGCGATTACCTGAAGTTTGATCCAACACGAGCTGAAGATTGTCCCCATTCATCCAAGAATGGTAAGCACCCCAGTTGAAATACATGCTTTTGGGAAAGTTGGCATCTACAGATCCCGAATAAAATGCAATCGCAGAGATGAACAAAGCGATGAAAAGAGCTTGTGAACTTGCCATTTTAACCCCAATGGAGAATTCTCTCCTATGAAGATGAAATTGTGGATGCTTTTCCTACAGGTTCGCAATGTGTTTTATAGCCTGTAACGAGCAGATGTGCCTTTTTGAGACCAACTATATTTTGAGTATTATTTGGTGTTGATTGATTTATTTATGTTTTCCTGGTAGTCTCACAAAATGCTGACCCTGTCATGTTTCTTGACATTCTTGCATTATTACTTAGAGAACAAGTATTTATTTTTTTTATTTTTCGGGTAGTCAATGAATACAATTCTGCAATATTTTGTATGTTCTTGGAGATAGAAATTTTGGTCCTTCTGACTTATTTGGTGACCTAGCCGATGCTGCATCCAACCTGTTTCGTTTTCATTTTCGTTTTTGTTTTCGTTTTTATTTAAAGGTGACAATTTTTTACATGATGCAAACTGGATATGAAATTAGTGAGTTAGGGTTGATTAGTTCTTGACATGAAAACCAAAAGTGATATGACCAGAAAATACGAAAAATAAACATGTTAGGTTAGTATTGTTGGATTTATTTTCTAGTGTGGCCCAATAGCCTACATATTTTTACATGTTTTATTTTATTTGGACTCAACAATTAGATAAAGCCAATATTATATATAAAGTTCAGTAATTAGAATTTTAATATAATCACTCTTCTAAGATAAGAAGGAAACCTTGATGTTAGAAGAAACCTTGATGGATTAGGAATTCTTCTGATAGAGTTTATCTGGTCCTCTTCTCTCCTCTATATAAGGATGGGTGACTCTCCTTCTTTTGATATTATTCAATCACTCTAAGTTTTATAGTCATCATAATAAAGTGAGAGAGAGAGAAGAACGTGAGCCAAGAATTAAATATTCAACTATTAGGGGTATTTTCTCAACTTCTCTAATTCAATGGCTGACAAAGGTATGTTCATTTTATTCTTGAGTTGTATTGAATTTAAGATCCTGTTAAGTTTAATTCCGCATTATTATTATGATTAGATGTATTATTAAATTTTACAAGCATCAACCTCTTGTAACTCTAATTTGACACGGTTAACCTCACTATACTCAATAATATTGTCTACCCTCAATGCATATAAAGAAATGTGAATTGTTAACCTATTTCTATTGTTTATATGTTCTTTATAATTTGATTTGTTTCTTAATTTAGTTGATTTTTTAATGGGCAATGATATATAAATACAAAAAAAAATATATAAACATAATTTATATACAAAATGATAATGTTGACACTTTTCATTTTAAAATAGTGTAATATTAAAATAATATTTAACTACTGTGAGTCACATCATTATGATGAAAACTCGTTTAAAATTTCTATGATTATAGTATATTTCTTTTTTGATTGAAACCTTTATTACCTATTAAACACGACTAATGTGTTAATCATGTCATATTCGGGTTAATACATTTATCAATATTTCGGGGTTGATGGTAGAATATTTGACACAATTAGTTAAATATGAAAAGTTAATAGGGAGGCAAATCTCAGCTCCAATTTGATTGGACCAAAAAGGAAAATAGTCATATGATAACAATGACATAAGAATGTTAATGGGAGGAAAGTAAAAGAAATGTGGAATGGTCACAGCTGGGACGCGGTTTGGAGGAACCCGAAGCTCGATCGCAGCCCGAGGCGGGCTTGGCCCGACCCATGACAATGTGAATATTCATATTGACATGTTAACATTCTGCTTTATAATCATATCCCCCTTTTTTTTTTTTTAATTCTTTTTTTTTTGTTGGGTGGTCAATAGACGTGCAGACCTTTAGTATATATTTGGTTAAAGAAACGACTATAAATTGCAGCTTCATCACCGGGTGTTCTCTGTCCATTCATTTGTTGGCATTCATCTATTTCAAATGTTACTTTCATGGGTCATTCTGGTCATGCAATGTGTTCCAACTTCCAAGTTACAACTCAACTACAGCTATATTTATTTTGACAAAAAATATTTTTTGAAAGGAATTTTTCTGCATTTTGGTGTTTGGTATGATGAAAAAAAAAAGAAAAAAAGTCAATAATGGTCAATGAAAAGAAGTTTGCCAGGGCAGTTTTTTTTTTTTTTAAACTTTCCGAAGGTGAAGAACGTTTTTTAAAACGGAGTCTTACGAATAGCACCACATTACCACCGCTGCCATCTCCACCTCCACCTCACTGCCATCACCATCCCACCAACAGTCGTGCATTAGTATCAAGGTCACAAAGAATATAAGAAAGGACAAATTATTGACAAATCTCATTTAGAAATGTTTTAACTCAAGAAATTCATGAAGGAATTTTTTTACACATTTAGTCCCATGTATGTATAGTTTTATTCCATAAAGTCTTTTTTCTTGATTTACACTATTTTCTTGGACACTTATGCCTTTATATTTAATTTTGATACTCTTATAAATATTTTTTGAACGGTTAACAATTTTATGATGTGAATATTCATATTTTAAAATTCACATTGGTAGGAATATAAAATTGGCCCGTGGGCAGCCTGAAACCCGTCAGCAAGCCGGGGCGGGCCCGGCCCGTTGACAATGTCAATATTCACATTGACATGTTAACATTCACATTAATAGGAGTGTAAGATTGGCCCGCGTCCCGTGGCGGCGCGAAACCCGCTCGTGGCCCATGGGCGGCCCGGGGCGGGCCCGATCTGGCCTATTGACAATGTGAATATTCACATTGACATGTTAACATTCACATTGATAGGAGTATAAAATTGGCCAGCGGCCCAGGGCGGGCCCGACCTGGCCCGTTGACAATGTGAATATTCACATTGACATGTTAACATTCACATAGATAAGAGTATAAAATTGGCCAGCGGCCCAGGGTGGGCTTGACTCGGCCTGTTGACAATGTGAATATTTACATTGACATGTTAACATTCACATTGATAGGAGTGTAAAATTAGCCCGTGCCTCGTGGCTGCCCGAAACCCGCCCACGGCCCATGGGCGGCCCGGGCGGGCCCTGCCCGGCCTGTTGACAATGTGAATATTCACATTGACATGTTAACATTCACATTGATAAGAGTATAAAATTGGCCCGCGGCCCATGGGCGGCCAAAAGCTCGCCCACCTCCCAGGGTAGGCCCGGCCCGGCTTGGCCCGTTGACAATGTGAATATTCACATTGACATGTTAACATTCACATTGATAAGAGTGTAAAATTGGCCCGCAGCCCGTGGGCGGCCTGAAGCCCGACCGTAGCTCAAGGCGGGCTTGGCCCGACCCATGACAATGTGAATATTCACATTGACATGTTAACATTAACATTGATAGGAGTGTAAAATTTGCCCGGTGCCCGAAGCTTGCCCGCGACCCGAGGTAGGCCCGGGCCAGCCTATTGACAATGTGCATATACACATTGACATGTTAAAATGCACATTGATAGGAATGTAGAATTAGCCCGCGGCCCGTGGTGTAGACACCCTAGTTTTGACCGACCTTAAGACTCAGACGTCATCGATTGAGTGCTCAGTGATGGTGCATGTTGTGCTCGTTCTGAGGTTTCGGAGTTTCAACTGAGAGCCTTACCCTCGAACCTCAGGACCCTTTTGTGCTTTTTCTCGGTTTGCAAACCAGGTCTTATTTTCTCTTCCCAAAGAGAGGGAGAGGTCTCGTAGACCATCTCTCAGTGGCCGTAGGTTACTTTTTGTGGTCGTAGGCCACTTTTCCCATTTGGAGACCAGTTTCTAGTTTTCGGAGCCGTCGACCGTGCGCTTCGGTTTGGGACCGCTTAACTTACTCCGTTTGGCACGGTTTTTGGCACACACTTTGTTTCTTCTCTCTAGAGGAACACTGTGGCCCGGGAGACCACCTTTGTGGTCGCACGTCACTTTCGATGCTTAACAGCCTGTTTTCGGGGCACTCGGCTGCTCGTTTTGACCCCCGAACCCTCGTTTTGCATCCGTCTTGGTTCATTTTTGGCATGGACCTTGTTTTCATTGTTTGGAAGGTGGTACAAGGGTGGGAGACCACCTTTTCTCCTTGGAGACCACTTTTCTACCGTCGGCCAGTTTTCTTGACAGGTACCTGGTCTCCCTCATTTTTGGGCCACAATTGCTGGTCTCTCACCACACCATTAGCTTGCGTTCAATGTGGAGACCACCAAATGGGATGGCTGACCACCTTTTTTTGACTTGAACCTTTTGAACTGGTCGGCCGGCCAGGGGAAGTAGTTGGCCGACCACCTAAACTGGTCGGCCTGCCTCCCCCAGTTCTGTCTCTATGAGTTGTTGCCAGTTGTGCCAACTAGAAGGCACAGAATGGATCCTCCATACACATGTATGGAGGATCTTCAAACTTGTTTTTTAGCTTCTTTGGGAAGCTTTGGACCCCTTTGGCTATAAGAGAGACCCTCTCCCTCATTAGTAAAGGTTCAGATTTTGTTTGAAGGCATACCATACATCTCTCCATATATCTCTACACTTTGGTTCAAAAGTTGCTTGGTTCTTGGCCTATTGCACACCACCTCCTAGCCTAACACCTCCACCATTGCTTTGAGGTCCTTGGAGGCCATTTTCAGAGGTTGAAGGTCTGAGTTTTTGGCCTCAAAGTTGCTGTCTTGCTGAGCTTCAAGGGTAACACACATTTTTCCTCTTTTAAGCATTATTTTGCTTCATCTTTTAGCCATACTTGCAAGCATATTTGAGCTTTGGTGTAAACTGAAAAAAGTCTTTTTTTGAGGTCCTTTTCATGTTTGTTTAAGGTTACTTTGTTATTGGGGGTTATCTACCCCCTTGCATGCTTCATTTTACCTTGTTTTGAGCCATGCCTTAGAGCATTTGTGTTGACCTTTGTTTGGCCTTTTAGCCACTGAAATCTAGTGGATTTTTAGTGGCTAGCATGCTGTTTGAGTGCCAAAATCAGAGAGGTGTGACCCATTCTCTCATTGTCTTATTTTCTAGCATATTTGGCCTAACAAAGGAGCCCTTATTTTCATGCTTCCAAGCCATGTTTCAGGCCACTTTTGGTGAGTTTTAGGACCTGTATAGGCTCTGTCTAGAGCTTTTTTTTTTTTTTTCCATATTGGGTGTCCATCTTGCATGTGTAGAATAACCTTCTTCATAGCCAATC